AATCGAGGGGGATAGCCCCGCCGGGCCCTCGCGCCGCCGACACTCAATCTCGATCCCGGAATCTCTTCGACGAAAGTCTGACGCCGCAACCGCTAGTGCTAGACCCAAGTCTTGGTCTAGCTCTGATGGACACCTAAAATAAACCAATACTGCGCGACGCGCTGTCGAGCGCATCGGTTTCGTACGGGGACCCTCCCGACCGCGTCACGCAGGATTTTGCAGGACTTGTCGCGGAGAGCGTTTGCCGCTCCGGCCGAGTGCGCCAGCCGTACCTCTCGGAGGGTCACGCGAGGCACCTCTTACCTCCACCTGCGGGAGCTGTCACCATCCCTTGGGTGGGCGTGTCCCTGCCGAGCTATTGAACCACATGCGGAGGCTTTTCGTATGCAATTGCAGAGGTGGCCCAACCGAGCGGGTTTCTAGTTCGCTGTAGCATAGGGGTTACGTGCGGTCGAACGCCCAAAAATCGAACCCGCACGAGAATTGACGCACTGGGGGCTAAGGTCCCAAACGCGACTCGACGCTGGTCGACTAGGACGCAGCACACACACCACGCGTTACACCACAACACTCACACGCATGGAGGAACACAAAACAATTAACACAAACAACACAACAACACAACAACACAACAACACTCCTAGTCCCTGCAGTATCCAACCTATAACCTTTTGCAACGAAAATCAGATAGGTATCGCGTGCTGGATTTTCGTATAAGAGTCGTGCAAGCGCATGGCCTCCTCATATCGACCAGCCATGCGGCCATACGCAAGCATTCGCATTGATGGGACACTATATAGTACTCGTAACCGCGCGGCCCTTGATAATCTCAAGGGTCGTGTTCGACACCCAAATGTCGGCTGACGAGCCCGTTGAGGAGTTACCCTCTCGGCGCTAGACAGCCGGCGGGGGCATATGCAAGAGATGCAAGGCCCAATCAGTGATTGGCGTACATTCGAGGGGCATTTCACAAAGTGTCAGAGGTTTTTGCCACACCCTTGTGTCTTAGGGGTGCCTGAAGAAACCAGGGCTAGGTCGCTAGCCCTGGTGCCTGTCGCTGCTGTTCGGTCCAAGTCCCCCTCGATACTGGTAGGGTGACGGTCCTGAGTGCTGGTCACACTAAGGTAGGATAGTAGGGATAGGGGATACGTTAGGGGTATTGACCGCCTTCCCAGAGCGACCAGGGTAGAGTACTTCCGACAATCAACGTGTGCCTAGTAACCGGCCTCTACAACACCCTGGACTTATTTATAATAATAATAATAAAAAAAGAAAGCCAACTTTCAGGGGCATTTCAACAATCTATTCTTCAGAAAAAGGAAAAAGATATAGGGGTGGACCCCACAGCACCCCGGCAAAGCAAAATGGGGAGCCACGCAAATGGGCTCCTGTGCACCGCGAACAGACCTTCGAAGGACGGCGGGACCCCACTGCGACCACAAGGCGTGGCCTCCCGGTCGCTCCCGTTTACCGAAATAGGAAATGTTTCCGGTGTTTTTCCGAAGGGAAAAGAGAGGGGCCACTTTCGTTCCTGCCGATGCCCATTTCACGTCCATCCCCGCTGCCTCCGTCCGCCACGGAGACGCGTTTTCACGTCAATGCCCGCTGCCTCCGTCTGCCACGGAGGCCTCCGTTCGCGTCGGAGGGCCTCTCTGGCACCTACCATGTAACTTTGGCATTTTTTTTAGGGATTCTGGGGTGCCACGGAGGATTCCGCCATCATTACAGTGGAAACGGAAGCTGAAGTTCTTCAAGGCCACACCCTACGGCCTGTGGGGTCTGAAAAAACCCTCCGTGCCAAAACCTGCGCTTTTCCGCATGCCTGTGGGGTGGGGTCAGGGCCATCATCCGCTCCAGTAGAAGCTAGCTAATGTCCAGTTGCGTTGATGCAACCCCAAAATGTGCCAAAGATCTAGGGCTCGAATCCCGAGGATTAGTTCTGACAAGTTTTTTTTTTTTTTTTTTTTTTTTTTTTTTTTTGACAAGTTATCGGCGGCAACGGTCCAAAGCGGGTTGTTCCCATGAATTCTTTCTTCGTCGTCCTCTCTCAGGCCATAGACTTAGTCATACTCACACTTCCTACTCAGCCCTGGACGTAATGACGGCCAGGTACATGCATGGCAGTCAGTAATTGCCGTCAGATACATTCCCGGGAAGCCCTAGTTCGAGTACGTCCTTAGTCGATTTCTACACTTTGGGCCTTCACTCTGTTTTTTTTTTTTAAGGCTAATTCTTTAAGCCCAACCAATTCAATTACCTGTCAAATCTGGACAGGACGGCTTTTCAGGCCTTTTTTATTGTCATTATAGTATTACGGGGACCAAGTCCCACTTGCAGCGGTTTAGTTCCCGTAGCCAGTACTGCACGACACTGTGTGACTTCGTGTTGCAATGTGCGGCTGGTTGACAAACGACGGGTTAAATCGCGAAAAATAACAGGATTTGAACGTGCTGAATGACAGTAATGATGAAAGGCCGGTCAGTCTGGTAACCAAGGGTATGGCAGCGGCATTGTCGGGAAAAACTTTTAGTTTCTGTGGAAATACAAGACGATGGACGGTCCCCACGTCTAGCCCGACTGGGGTCAGGCTACGGACGAGGACCGTTCCTTGCGAGTGAAAGAGCTCATTCCGACTATAACAGCCAATGGGAAACCGCTACGTAGCAACATTCAATCCATTCCGTTCGAAGAAAAACATAACTGACCATGCGCCCTACGATCAATGTGAATCAGCGGTCAGGAAACGTGTCACACAAAACACAGGGTCCCGAACTGAGGACTAAACCGCTGCAAGTGGGACTTGGTCCCGGGGAACCCCGTAGCGGCCACATCCGTCGTGCTCAAGCCTCCAACGAGGGAACATGCGGGAGCTGCACCCACCAGCAGGTGCGATACCTGCTACAGCAGGTGGGCGATACCGGCCAGGGGTCAGCCGGTAGCATCAGGACCGAGCTTCTTCGATGGGCCAGTCACTGTGCCTCCCCTCCGGTCCCCTCCCCCAATGAACATCAGCAGTCTCTGCTCAATGCCACTCGGGGGGACCAACGGCATATCTCTAGGTGGGCAAGCTTGGCAGTCTCTGCTCAATGCCACTCGGGGGGACCAAAGGCATATCTCTAGGTGGCCGGCGCCAAGCTTGCCCGGGAAGGTACATGAGGTCAATGGGGATTGAACCCAAGACCTCCTGAATGCCACTTGCGTGCCTTACCAACTGAGCTAGGCTTTTTTTTCACTCTTACTACTTGCGTGCCTTACCAACTGAGCTAGGCCGCTGGATCACTCTTACTACGGTCAGCACTACGTAATGAAGTCAGAGAATAGAATGCTCTTGACTCTTCCTCTAAAGAAGGTAGTTCCGATATCGGGCCTCGCTCCACCGCTAACCACATGCCCAAAAGACAAAAAAATTCGGCGGTGTATTTTCCTATGTTCTAGCGAAAGATTCATTCTCATTGTCATCCTTATCTTCTTCTTCTTTTTCTTCTTCTTCTTCAAAGCGTTGGACGTGCGAGCTTCTGTGTACTGTCTTTTCGTACGCGTGGTCTGTACCTGACTGGAAATATGGCCTGTGTACATTCACTATCAGCGTGCGTTATGTTCGGTGGAATACGGTTGTTGCTCGTTGGCCACGGAATCCCCTAATCACTAGACCTCTTCTTCTTCTTCTTCTTCTTCTTCTTCTCCTCTTTCTTCTTCTTCCTCCTCCTCCTCCTCCCCCTCCTCCTCTTCCTCGTCGTCGGAGAAGACCGTTTACGTCAGGTCAATGGCGTTTGGTGCTTTCGTCAGTGGGTACATTTGAAGGAAGGAAGGACAAAAGGCTCGCCAAACCACACAGGAAACGGGAACAAAAAAAAAAGAGATGCGTCTTTCCACAGAAGGTGGCCAGGTACATTCGTTATTATTCGTCAACAAAGGATGAATCTTTCCAGTTTCTGTGGGAAGATGCGCTCGTTATATTTGACGTTTCGTGTGCCGTGTGGCGAGGCGCAAAGCTTGACAGCCTTCGAAGGTGTTTGAACTGAAAACTCTCAAGGCAAAAAAAAGATAAAATAAATAAATAAATAAATAAATAAATAAATAAATAAATAAATAAATAAATAAATAAATAAAGAAATAAATAAATAAATTAAAAAATCTCAAGCCATCGTCCACTTCTTCTAAGGTGTCTATCATCTCGACAATCATGAGGTACTTGTACGTACTTTTTTTCTTTTCTTTTCTTTTTTCTCTTTTGGTTAATCACAAGACGCCATGGGAAA